AGTTGGCATCAGTACCTCATATGAAGATGGACATTATCTACAGGTTCAGAGGGGAGTAGCTGTTATCTAAACATTCAGAATGGGTTTTTTTTTTAGATCAATAGTGGTAATTTGGCTTTATCAGAGATATATAAATAAAGGTTTATTCGTGGGGTGTTTAAAAAGAAAAAATGAGTTTTAATGATGTTCTAGGCACATATTAAAGTAAGCTAATCGTGTCTTTTTTTTAATTTGGTTCTTTGCAGAATAAATCGAAAATCTAAATTTTTACAAAGTAAAGTCAAAGTAAATATTGGTTAATTATATAGAAAATGTAATATAATGGTACTAGTAAAGTATAAAAGATGCATTTAGTTCATTTTATTTTCCTGGATCAATTTATAAAATAAATTGAATGGTCTTATTGTTACGCAGTAGACCCATATGGTATCAATCTTGAAACAGCATTTTCCAACAAGGTAACTTATCTTCTGATATCTGAAATATATGAAGAAACTCTCACAAGACTTTAAAAGGAAATTGTGTCTGCTTATGTTTTAGCTGATTTTGAACTAAAGTAAAAGCACATAAGAACTGAGCTTTCAGAACCGTCCTTCTATTCCTTGTTACCTATGCAAAACATCGCTTTCTGCAAATCCTACTGATCCCAGCCATGGAAGTTTAAAATGTAGGGCATGCTTTTGCAAAGGTGATTTTACCAACAAATGTCTTTCCATGAACTACAAAGAAATCAAGGTTAAATTTAACCAAGTTTAAAACTTGTAGAAGTCATCTTGATGGGAAAATTTCTGCAGCAGTTTTAAAGCATAAATCTGTATTCCTAAGGAAGTCTCAAATGTCCTTCAAATGCATCAGAAAGTAGATATTTAAAGTGTGAAGTGTGATACTTTCACTGTTTATGTCACAAGGTATTGGCATTTTTACAGAAAATAGAAGCCTGATAAGTGTGTACATTGTGTACCTCCAGTTAACTGATGCATATAATGAAATAAAAGCAAGTGTTTCTTATATCCAAGGAGAAAAATGGAGCTGTCTTCTGGGAGCTGTTTGGATTGTCCCACAATGGAGAAGGTGGACTATCAACCTATAATTATTTTCAGGGAAATTTTCTTCAGGCTTGTCTGAAAATTGGATGAGCAGTGATTCATATCAAGCGAAAGAAAAGAACTGGGATCTGGAATTTGTCCTCTTAATAGGCTAGGAGAGAGTAACTGCTTTCAGCTCCTGGATCTTTCATGAAGCATATGAAATCTGCCTTAGTCTCTTTTTACCCTATTAATAGTGTTTATTTCTCACTCATTTAAATGGCAGTGCTGTACTGAACCATAAGCTTTGCATAGCATTCACCAATGTCTATTCCATTGGTCCTCATTACAAAATCCATGAATAATGTATTTTCTTGTGTTTTACATTTTTGTGCTTTTTGTTGGTGATTTTGTGGTTGGAGAGGGTCCCCCGGCATTAGTGCCGAAGTGCTCTCTCGTGTTCCCAACTGCAAGGCAGCCGTGATGTGCCTTATGAAGAAAATAATGTTTTAGGTAAGCTTGGTTCAGGCGTGAGTTACAGTGCTCTTGGCTGTGGGTTGAATGTTAATGAATCAACACTATCTATTAAATAAGTGCCTTTAAATGGAAACACAGGGGACGGTATAGCTCAGGAGTAGAGTGTGTGCTTAGCACGTGCGAGGTCCCAGGTTCACTCCCCAATGCCTCTGTTAATAAATAAATAAGCTTAAAATAAATAAATAAAAGCCCAAAATAAATAAATAAAAAGAAACTGTCACTTTAAAAAATAAAAAATAAAGTTAAAAAATAGAAACGAGCAAAAAAAAAATTAAATGGAAACATACATGAAATCATACAACAAGGTTATTCATTGATGGATTGATGGATGTGTTGGGGCCAGAGGCTAGGAGAAACCTACTCCTGTATTTCCTCCCAGAGCATTGGTTCCACCTCCCTAATTTGGTGTTGGTGGCAACTTTATAGAGCATAATTACTATGAATAATAAGAATCAACTATTTAAACCTGTATAATTACTAGTTACTGGGCGAGGCCCCAGAGAGTCAAGGGCAAAAGTCTCAGTTCTGTCCACAGAGGGCTCGGCACCAGTGGGACAGACGGACTCATGGTGGAGTGATGAGAGAATTGCTGTGGCAGAGGCAGGCTGTGCTCTGGGGAGCCTGACATTGCCTGGGGGTGTCCAGGTAATAAGGTGCAGATCAGTAGCTGCATGTCTGAGAAAAGGATTGAAACAGTGAAGAAAGGGTGTCCAGCACAGAGGAGAATGAAGTAAATGAGGTTACGGGTTTCTTTTTCAACAGTAATGCTGGAGGGGTTTTGACTCGTGTTGGTACCATGTCGTTGCAGAAATACTCTGTGGCAAAAGCCTTCCACCTCTTGCCAAAATGAACACTGAGGAGAAATGAAAGGCACTGAAGAACACCAACAAAAAGTTGCAGAACCGAAATAACCACACTCCTCTGGAGTCGGATTCCTCCACAGCCATCCTAAAAAAGGTAGGGGAATAAATTACGTTATGTTTTTTCCCCCTTTAAAATTTTATTTTAAATTATGCAGTGGTGAGAAAACAGAAAAGTACCTTTTTAATTCAACATATATCCATTGGGTGACTTCTTTGTGCCTGCAAATTGTTCTAGGCACTTAGGAATATGATACTGAATGAAAAAGGCTTTGAAGGAGCCAACATTCTAGTGGGAGGGGATAAGTAAAGAGGGTCAGCCCTCCGTGTCCGCAGATTCCGCATCCATGGATTCGATCCGTGGTTGGTTGAATCCATGAATGGGGAACCCTTAGATATGGAGAGCTGACTTCACTATGCCGTTTTATATAAGAGACCTGAGCACCCCTGGATTTTGGTATCTGCAGGGGTCCTAGGACCAATCGCCCTTAGATACCAAGGGACAACTGTAAATAAATGCAAAAGAAACTGGCAGCCCTTAATAATGTTTATGAGCATTGTAAGCAGGTTAATGAGATAAAGGATGATTGAAGGGCTACTTAAATTTGGGTGTCAGACCACTCAGAGAATTTTGAGTTGAATGATGGAAAAGAGCCAACTGGGTAAAGGTTTGGAGCCAGGACCTTTCATGTACTGTGAACCAGGATCCAGATAGACATATTCAAGGCTCGGAAAGCAGGGCTTTATTGCTTTGAGGGAGTATTTGGAGAAGCATGATGTAGAGGAAGTTGGAGAGACGTGGAAAAGTGTCTTAATTTCACTCCAGCGGAGACAGAGCTCTCTCTCTCTGGTGGAGAGTTATTAGCAGAGGAGTGAGTTTACATTATATTTTTTAAGGCCATTCTGCTCTATTTAGCTAAGGGGAAGGGCTCAGGACTTGTGGAAAACAGGGTGCTGTCACCTAGGCAAGAGATGATGAGTTGGCTTAGGGACATGGCTTCGGGGAAGGATGGGTCTAAAGTAGATTTTGGATCTCACTCAGCTCGATTAAACTAGATGACCATCAGTGCTGTTTATGAACCCCCAAACATAATTCTAATTCTATGTAGGGTATGATGTCATTTGTGTTTTGATGTACAATAGTCAAATGGTAATTTATTTTGTTGTTTGAAGGAGCAGCTTATGCTGTGTATGTTTGTGGCTTCTGAAACTTAGAAGGGCTTGATGTCACATTGTCAAAAGACATAAAATTCTGCCTTGAAAGCTTATGTTTAAGACAGCTTATCTTGTAACACTTGGAGACTCGAGCTTCCAGACATTTCTGCAATTCCTCCCTTCCTTCCTACATGGTCCCTGACTTCTGAGAACAGTGTTACTTTAACCACAGGAAGGTGGCTCATGTGAAGTGTAGTCTTCTGGTTAAGAAGGATTTAATGAGTTTTTAAAGGACTAGTGGCTTAAGTTACTCAGGTATAACTTCAAGACTAAAATTTTCACACTGGATTATTCCTAAATGAAAAATTAAATAAAAAATGAAAACATTATTTAAAGTTGGTGCTCTAAAAGATAGGAATATGGGGGAGGGGTAGCTCAGTGGTAGAGTGAATGCTTAGCATGCACGAGGTCCTGGATTCATTCCCAAGTCCCTCTGTTAAAAAAAATCAGTCAATCAATCAAATTAACCTCCCCCCAACCAAAAAAAAAAAAACCAGACAGGAATATGTAAGGGATTAATTTTGAAAATATGCAAATAGCATATACACCTCAATATCAAAAAACTAAACAACCCAATCAAAAAATGGGCAGAAGACCTAAACAGACATTTCTCCAGAGAAGGCATACAGATGGCCAACAGGCACATGAAAAGATGCTCAACATCACTAATTGTTAGAGAAATGCAAATCAGAACTACCATGAGATGTCACCTCACACTGGTCAGAATGGCCATAATTAAAAAGTCTACAAATAATAAATGCTGGAGAGGGTGTGGAGAAAAAGGAACCCCCCTACACTCTTGGTAGGAATGTAAGTTGGTGCAGCCACTATAATAGTATGGAGGTTCCTTAAAAAACTAAAAATAGATTTACCATATGATCCAGCAATCCCACTCCTGGCATGTATCCAAAAAAGATGAAAACTCTAATTAGAAAAGATTTCATAGCAGCACTATTTACAGTAGCAACAGTCTGGAAGCAACCTAAATGTCTATCTACAGATGAATGGATAAAGAAGATGTGGTATATGTATGTGTGTGTGTGTGTGTGTGTGTACATACACATTTACATACACAAAGTGGAATATTATTCAGTCATAAAAAAGAATGAAATAATGCCACTTGCAGCAACATGGATGGACCTAGAGATTATCATACTAAGTGAAGTAAGTCAGACAGAGAAAGACAAATGCCATATCACTTATATGTGGAATCTAAAAATTATGATCCAAATGAATTTATTTACAAAACAAAAACAGAGTCAGTCATAGAAAACAAACTTACGGTTATCAAAGAGGAAGGGAGAGGAGGAATAAATTAGAGATTTGGGAATAATATACACACTACTATATATAAAATAGATAAACAAGGACTTACTGTATAGCACAGGGAACTACATTCAATATTTTGTAATGACCTATAAATGGAAAAGAATATGAAAAAGAATGTATGTATGTATGTGTAACAGTCATTTTGCTGTACACCTGAAACATTGTAAATCAACTATACTCCAATAAATTTTTTAAAAGATGGGAATATGTGGATTTTAGCAATGTTGGCCAGAGAAGCTAATGCTTTCCACAGACAGGGCTTCATGTTTTAGAGTGTGTGACCATTGGGAAAAGCTCACAGGGGAGCAGTGAGAGGACAAGAACTTACCCAGTGATCTTGGCAGGTGGGTCTAAGATTTCAAGAAGCCCTTGGTCACTGTTGGAACACAGACCAACCTCCAGTCTGTGTTCAGAAGAGTTTCAGTGGTAACTCAGCCAAACAACACTTTAAGAGTTCAGAAAAGACTCTACTTTGCGAGAATCATAACTTTTTGAAATGGTGCTAAATTTAGATGATGTGGACCCTTCCTTCCTCCATTCCAGACCCCTGTCAAAAGCCTTCAGTTGTCAGAAAAGTGCCTCAGTGCAGCAGTTATATAGTGTCGGGTAGTTGAAAAGACTCTTGAGACCCCACAAGTCTGCACATGAAAGCCAAGGATAGGGTCCAGCAGGAGAAAGAAAGTCCAGCAGACATCTGAGGGGACAGAGAATTCCAGGTCCAGCTCCAGGGTCCTTTCTCCAACACAGGATGTGCTTTGTCTTCTGGTTATGAACCACCAAGATTCAAGTGTCTCAGAGGAGCCAAGGCTCAAGTTTACTGAGGAGCATTTTATATTCCACAACTCAGGTAGCTAAAAGCAGGCCTTGTGAACAGGTGAACAGGTGCGACCAGTCAATCTGTACAGTTTCAATGAACAGCATAGACAAGCTGGTACAGGATGCCTGGGGCAGGTTTGGACTTTTAACAGCACGTTATAAATCACTAGCTAATACATTTCCCCTCTGTCTTGGCCTAGAATCAATACCATGGTTTCAGGTGCCCTTCAGGGTAAGCACAGAGCTACCCAAGATCAACTGCAAGTTAACCCTATCCTTATATACTCAGAAAATTGAGCCAGGACGAAAACATCCAAGACGCACATTCTGGGCTTGGTTTTGTCTTCACTGAGCTGGAGATAACTCTTGGGTCAGCTGGAGAGATCACTGAAATGCTAGGCTTTCAAATGAAAGTCAGAATTCCTGGAAGAAGTAACTAGATTCTGAAGCAATAAAGAGAAAATAAAACAGAAAGACTAATATTTATTGTTTTAGGTTGATTTCTCCAGAATCAGATGGTGAGACAAAAAGTTTGGACACTGGTGTGTATCTGGGGATTGATGCTAGTACACCTTTGCAGGGGAGTAGGGATGTGAGAAAAAAAGAGAAGAGAAGACAGAAAAGGTGCCTTATCCCTGCCATCACCAACAGGCACACAATCCCATTAGGCAATTCAGGGATACGATACAGAACATACATTGGATTTATCCTAACCAAGGGCACGAAAATTGGGTTCTGTTGCTACCCTCTCCCATCTGCCTTGGTTGTGGGCTGCTTCTCTGGGTGGGAGCGAAGGGTGTTAACTCCCTGGCACTGGTAGCCTGTCATATGTGTGGACCAAGGGACCTCTGGCAGCCAGAGTCCCAGGTGTTTGCCATTGGAAGCCAGCATCAGGTCAGCCTGCACAGAAGTGATGCAGGCTGAGGGGTACGGATGGAGCGCCTACAGTTTCTCCTACAAGGGGGACAGCAGTGGTGATGATCATGTTAATAGAGCTCAATAGATCATATTAATAGATGACATTAATTAATCATTTTTATTGAGTAACTCTAAGCCAGGTACTATACCAAGTGCTTTACTTACCTGTAATCGTTTGATTCTTATTTGGTGAACACTCACTCTGTGAAGATGGGGACAAAGGGAATGTATATCTGATCACCACACTCCTGCAGCATACACCTTACTCCAGTCTTCAGCTTATACGTGGGCAGGCACAGTTTAGCAAGGTTAACCAAAATCTCTGGAGTAACACGTTCAGGAAACTAGACTTGGGATTCCAACTCTGGTTTGCCTCCAAAACCGTCCTTGTAATCCTTAATTAACTAATTGATCATTGATGTTTTTCTGATGCCCATTTATTGAAAAGTTGGCAGGTGCTATTTAAGTTTTAAGATACGAAATACAAATCGCCCCTGTTTTCAGAGAGCCCGCACACCTGTGGGAGAGAAAGACAAGAAAATGAGTCGTGATATAAGACCATGAAGGAAGTATGTTGCGGCTATTAAATAAGATCAAGGAAGAATATCCTCTGTTTCCTCATAACAAATAACCCCAAAACTTAGTAGCTTAAGACAGTAAGCTACTTGAGGAGTTCTGATCCAGGATAGGTTTGACTGATCTAAGGTAGGTTCGCTCATTTTTCTGCAATGAGCTAACAGATTGTCTAGGGTTTGGATAGTCTAAGATGGCTTCACTCACATAGCTGGTAATTGATTGAATGTAGCTGGGGCAACTTAG